TGAAGACATCAAGGTCTTCCTTGAAGACTTCGAGTCGGTCGTGGAGTTGGTGAGTGTCCGGGATCCAGGAGCGAAGGTTGTGGTGCTGTCCACGTTGCTGAGGGGTAGAGCGATAGCAGCATATAACGGCGTGGGGCATGTGGATGGGAAGGAAATCTTAAAGAGAATGATTAAACTCCTGAAGGGCAGTTTGACAGCCCAGCAAAAAAGGAGCTGGTGATGCAGCAGTTTCGGAGTACGGACTTGGAATAGACGAATACATAGTGGTGTTGGCTGTGAAGTTAACCAAACTACTTAGACAAGTATTTCTCATTATTAATGAGGACTCTCAGGCACAGTTGTTGGCTGCACACTTCACCGAATGTGTTGCTAAATTTTGACAGGAGGTCGAGTGTAGTGGGAGTTGCTGGTTAGAATTGTTGGTTGTATGAGCTTACTTTGTCCAAGTACACTCTGGATGTGGTGGCTAAGCTCTAAACTGCCGTCCAGTGTTTGGATCACACTCATCTGTCTGTTTGGTGAAAGCTACAGATCAGCTTAAATGCTTTTTAACTACTCAACGTCTTCGCTAGTAGCATGTTTCACTAGTTGAAGATCACACTTCATGATTTTGGCTGAATAGTTGCGGTTTTCAGCGGGATCTTTGCTGATACCATCAGAGTTAAATAGTAGTGGAAAAAATTCTCAGCTCTGAGAAATATTAAGGTGGATCGTGGATTTTGTGAATCATTTGCAAATTATTATTATTTTTCCCTTGGGTTCCTAGTGGAACATACGAATTCAGTAGTACGTCTCCAGTGCACTCTATTCTCTGCAGTCTTTTCAACCTGTCTACACCACTCCCCACAACCTTCCATTTCTTCCTCACACAATCTCCTCCATGTCAATCCCACCTTGAACGTCCAACTTGTCATTTCACATTTGGATACCACTCGATGACCTCGCCTGGTACGTGATGTCCCCAATCGACCTTCTCACTGAATGCCCAATCCATGTACAGTTTCTTCTAATGCATATTTGTTGAGCTATGGGTTCTTGAATGTGTGATAGTTCAGAAAGTTGGCGTGTCACGAAAAGCTGTCTTTCTGCTGCTTGCTGCTTTGACATCGTCGTCTGTGCTGCTACCTGTATTTGAAACGATGCTGCCTACGTAGGAGGGTAGGTGAAAGAGGCTAATTCCTTTAAGTTTCTCCCATTGATGGTGATTGGAGCTTGTTGTTGGTGTTGGTGGTGGTGGTGTTGGTTGGGTATCTTAATCACCTCTGTCTTCTCTACATTCACTTGAAGCACCGTTTTCACTGCCTCTTCTGTCAACTTGTTAGTTTTCGCCTATAGATCTTCGAGTTTTTGTGATATAAGACGTTAGACATAAATCGTTATCGTTGGTGAGATCGAAATCTTATTCTAGGATCTTTTCATCAGTCCAGTCAGCGTATGCGTGTCTTTTCGCTCCTCACTGTTTGTTGCATGATCCAGTCCAGTTGACGACAACCGGAAGATGATGGATGATAGTAGGCAGCCTTTTCTTACTCCTATCTTTACTTCAGAGGCGTCACTGAGCTTTCCATTGTCAATCACTTCAAATGTATCCTCATCATATAGCATAGGATATAGCTGTTGTTGGATGAGGTTGATAAAGGTTTGTGTCACTAAAAGTGTAGTGTTGAAGCAGCAGGTGCCTGGCAAATTACTTCTCGGTCGACGCTGTAGAATACCTTTTCAAAGTCGATGAAGTTGAGGTAGAGTTGAGTTGACTACCATTCTATACTCTGCTCTATAATGATGCGTAGAGTTGCAATTTGATGTGTACGTGATTTGTACTTCCTGAATCCAGCCTGTTCCCGTCGTAGGTTTGATCAACCTATATTATCGGTGACAGCATTGCTTTGTTCCCTTTTTACACCTATTCATATTATCACGTATGTTGTACAGTGTTTCATCAATGTCTTGGTTTATTGTTGAAGACGATTAAATGAATAGGCTTTCTCATTTTTCCCTGATATTTTACTCACCCGTGTGCGTGTGTATATGTATGTCTGAGTGAGTGAGTGAGTGAGTAGTATGCTTCATCGGACACGTATTTATCACCTCTTAACTTGTCTCTCTTGCCATATACACCAATTTACCTAATTGACAGTTAGTAAAAAAAAGAAAAAGACAGTTTTTCTCTGAAATTAGCCAAGGAAATCAATCTTTTCAGACAGATAAAGTCATTCCATTGTTTATCAAAGAGAAATTGAAGAGATTGAGGAAAGAGATAAACCGAAAGATAAGGAAAGTGTAAGGAAGATGTCTGAGAAACAAATGGTATGAATATAATAAAATATTCTTATTACTATTAGTATTATTATTATTATTGTTTTAAAAGGTGATGACTTGAGTATTAATTAGATAAGCTCAATCATTTATTATTTGTCATTTATCTGAAGTGAAACAACAGATGGTTGATTGATTGATTGATTAATAAGGTTTTTGATGGACACATTGATATTCGAGAAGTTTTACTTTGTTGATTATCAACGTACTCTGTGCTAGCACCACCCTCCCCCTTCCGCCTATGATAAAATAAAGAGCATGTAAGCTATAAATGTAGATTAATAGGAAGCAAGAAAGGAGGGAACGAAGACACCTACAATCTCATGAGATAAAATGCATCTTCAGACAGTTATTAACGAAAGTGAAACACAGCTATGTCAGACGTATGATAAGGCAATTTAACCAACTTATCACTGAACAGCTACCTTCATGAGTGTTACGTCTAGTTCATAGTGGTCACTAGAGTGTTCAAAAGGGATTGAATACATTTCACGGTACCTTTCATACAAAGTTCGAACTCGCCCCCTTTACATATACATGGGGTAAAATATCCTGTCACATCATCCTGGAGAGACTAAAGTATGCACTGGATTCAAAACTACAACCGGAACAGGCCGGATTCACGAAGTACAAATCATGTGGGGACCAAATTGCAACGCTACGCTACACATCACAATACAACAGAGTATACAATGGCAGTCAACTTAACTCAACTCAACTCTACCTCAACTTCATCAACTTAGAAAAGGCATTTGACAGCGTCGACCGAGAAGTAATTTGTCAGGCACCTGTGGCCTCAATACTACGGAATACCACAATTATTTATCAGCCTCATTCAACAATTATACGAAGACGCCACATGTCAAGTAATTCACAATGGGAAGCTCAGTGACGCCTTCGAAGTGAAAACAGGAGACGGGAGTAAGAAGGGGCTATCTACTATCACCGATGATCTTCCTGATTGTAGTGGACTGGATTATGCAACAAACAGTGAGGAGTGAGAAGCGGAGGATATGCTATCTGGATCGAGGAAAAGATCCTAGAAGATTTATATTTCACCGATGATTACTTGTGTAAAATGTCACACAAACTTGAAGATCTACAGGTGAAAACTAACAAGTTGACAGAAGAAGCGAGGCAGAGCAGCAAAGAAGGACGGAACATCACATGAATGTAGAGAAGACGGAGGTGATATAATTGTAGGAATAAGCAACAAGGAACTCTGGGGACGAACCAACCAAGAACCTATTGCTCAACAAGTATCAGCAGTGGAAGAGAGTGTAGATGGATTGGGTATGCACTGAGAGGACGATTCGAGGACATCCTACGCCAGGCACTCAAGTCGGACCCAGATGTGAAATGACGAGTTGGGCATCGGAGGCGCGGATGACATGGAGCAGAAGGTGTGAGGAAGAAATGAGAGATTGTTGGCAGTCGTGGAGCTAGGTTCAAAAGATTGCAGAGAATAAAGTGGAATGTATGCATACTACTGAAGCCGTGTGTTCCACTGGGAACCCAAGGGACAAATAATAATGATAATCATCATTGAACTACACTCAACAACCTTGCATTTATTCGTGAAGTAGCTATTAAGCCACACCTATAGTTTGATGGTTTATGAAACTACTACCTGATTGCCCAAACCTCGGTAGTTGGAAGCGTGTTGTAACTCGTGACGCATTGGTTCATCACCATCTCCCTAGACTAATGAGTGAAGTTCCACTTACAGTCCACAATTTGGAAGTACATCAAACAGATTCATTCCAATAGGGCTGTCAGCCAATTGTTCAAGTTGAGTCAAACTACATTTTCATGAAATATGCAATCGTCAATGAGAATGATGTAATGAGTTTAGGCTGAACTGCGAAACTTTACTGTGGTTTGCTTTAATAATTTATAATTATTCTATTTGTCCCCTGCGTTCATAGTGAATATAAGACTTCAGCAGAATGTCGTCATTTCATTCTCTTCTCTCTGGTGTTCTTACACAAGTAATCATCGGTGAAATATAAATCTTCTAGGATCTTTTCCTCGATCCAGATAGCATATCCTCCTCTTCTCGCTCCTCATTGTTTGTTGCATGATCCAGTCCACTACAATCAGGAAGATCATCGGTGATAGTAGATAGCCCTTCTTACTCCCGTCTCCTGTTTTCACTTCAAAGTTGTCACTGAGCTTCCCACTTGACATGTGGCGTCTTCGTATAATTGTTGAATGAGGCTGATAAATAATTGTGGTATTCCGTAGTATTGAGGCCACAGGTGCCTGACAAATTACTTCTCGGTCGACGCTGTCAAATGCCTTTTCTAAGTTGATGAAGTTGAGTTGAGTTGACTGCCATTCTACACTCTGTTGTATTGTGATGTGTAGTGTAGCGTTGCAATTTGGTCCCCACATGATTTGTAGTTTTGAATCCAGTGCATTTGGCTTAATATTTTTCTTGCTGTGGGTGGACAGTAGCTTGATTCCTCTGTTTTCAGTGGTTCTCGTGAGATTTCATCTGGTCCAGCTGCCTTCCCTCATTTCACTAGCCTTATAACATTCAGGACTTCAACGATCATTGGATGGTTTGTGTTCACTTATAGTGAATACATTCTATTGAATTCAATCTGTGAAATTATGAATAGGAAAGAAAAACCTTTTGTTTGTTAGATTTCATAAAAATTTCACTTGAATACACTTACTTGTACTCTGATAGTTACAGTAGTTGTAGTCTTCCGTTTTATTGGATAACCCATATCTTGTGCAGTAATTAGTACTAAATACTTTACAGAATGATAAATAAGTTTCTCTGTTACAAATACTATACCTGTTGTTTCATCAATTTTAAATAAATTTGATGAAAATTTAATATTTTCTAAATGATTTTTTGTTTGATTCAATAAAAATTATCAGTATATTTTGAATATTTCATTGTTTCATCAATTGTTGATATATAACTAGGTATTGTTAAACTAAATTGAATAGTACCATTTTCACCAGCATCAGGATCATTAGCTAATACAGTGAATAAATTATGTCCAGCTGGTACGCCAACTTCAACATTAATAACTTCATAAGATGATGGATATGTAATAATTGGAGAATTATCATTTATATCCATTACAATCACTGTAACTGTTGCTGTTGTTGTATAGGAATGAATAGATTTTAATGTTTGTCTATAAGAATTTGTTTTACTTTGAGAATGATGATCATTATCAATAGCTAATACATAGAATATATGATGTGATTGATATTCTCTATCTAATTTCTGTGTTAAATATAATTGACCTGATGTTATACCTATAGTAAAATATGAATTAGTTAATTGTTGATCATTATGTATAGTGTTATAGTGTAATGTTGATATATTTGATGATAATGATGTAGACAATAAATCAATATCAATTAATCGATAAATGATATTCTCATTTATTGAATTATCTAAATCAATCGCTTTTAATACACCTAATGATTTACCTTTAATTGGTTGTTGATTTTCAATTACATAAAATTCATATATTGATTTTTCAAATATCGGTGGATTATCATTGATATCTTGTAGAAGAACACGAATTCTTGTACTACTATTATATATACCATCAGTAACATATATAGGAAAGCATAAATAAACTGATTGATCAGATGAATTAATTTCAGTAGTTAATAAAGATGATTTTGAAAGTTGAATATTTAATGTATATTTTTGTATAACATCTTCACGATCAAATAATTGATTAGCGTAAACACTACCATCTGTACTATCTACACTGAATACATTAGAAATATCATTATCATTATCATTTCCTATTGGAATGAAATATTTCAATTGATTCGATATATCTTTATCAATCGCTGATACTTTACCAATTAGAATAGGATTCCTTAATCTTACTTGATGATAATGTTGCTCCATCATTTGATTATCTTTATTATTATTATTATTATTATTATTATTATTATTATTATTGTATAAAGTATTGAATGTTACAGATGTATCCATTTCTTCAAGTGAAAATATATACTCAGAATGAGTAAATTCAGGTGGATTATCATTTTCATCAGTAATAAATACACGTACTAAAGTTGTACCAGTTAATTGATTATTAATAATTGATAAAGAAAATGATTGATCAATATATTGATTTGTATAAGTTTGATAAATTGATTCATCTTGTGATGTTGATAGAAATAAAGGAGATGGTTTATAATAATAGTGTGACTGTGGATTATCTATACAGACAATATGGAAAAAGATCTGTATAAAAAAAAAGCAGAAAAAAAAAGAGATAAATATGAAGTTGAAGATGAAATTCAACGGTAAAAAACTTCAGTGTTATTCCTTGTATTACACCGTTGTTGATTGAACCGAATTGGTATATGTACTCCCATTGCACAAGAAATGGCTATCGTAACTCAATAGTATAGTTGAGTTCAGTTGACTGCCATTCTATACTCTGTTCCATTCTGATGTGCAGCGTAGCGTTGCAATTCGGTCCACACATGATTTGTACTTCCTGAATACAGACTGTTCTGGTGGTAGTTTTCAATGCAGCGCATCCTTCATTCTCTCCAGCAATATGGATTTACAGATCCTATTTAAAATCAGGGTCAGGAACATAAAGTCTCAAAGTGGTCAGAACACTATTAGGCCAGTCGGTTAGAATAAACTGAAATCACATAATAAACGAACCATCATTAAAGAGTTACCGGAGATCCGAATAAGAAGCATCAGTCTAAGGTTTATTTTTACTTGTGATATCTCCTGGCGTACTACAGTGGAACAAATGGCAAAATAAACAAGTATGTTGCTATGATGATCCTTGTCTTCAAGAGTATGAATCTGACAGTAAGTTTTCAGGTTAATAGTCAACTTTCGCTACATCATCATATGGAATAAACATCAATGTAATATAGGTAGGTGAATGAATAAACAAATCAGTCAGAGAGGCTTTCTCCAATTGTCCTAGTAACATACCACAAAAATAGGGTGGAGAAATTTACTTCAACTATGATAACTACACTGAGACTATGAGCTGTCAGGGACGGAGGGTGGAGGGCGG